GGTTATCTTTCAGCATTGAAAATTCCAACAACACCCTTATTTTTGTGTGTTCTGGATCACAGTATCCAGAATTTTGTCCGGATCACCACCAAAATGTAATGGGATCCTCCTGGGGCTGAGACGCACCTCTGGTGTAAATTTCAGGTCAATCCGTCACTTCCTTTTCCGTAAAGTTGTTCACAGACAAACAAACAAACAAACAAACCAACGATACTGAAAACATAACCTCCTTGGCGGAGGTAATCAAATCAGGACTGAAGTGCGAAAACTAGTCTTTAAATTTCACGCTGTGGTTTTTTTCTTGTTGTATTTTTCAGACACTGACGAGAAGAAAGAATGACCAGCTGAGGGACGGACAATCAACCTCATCTGACAGCCAGCAAACTGTGCGAAGCCAACCAACACTGGTGTCAGCCTGTCCCATGTCAGAATGGGCTCTGACACTGGCCCAGGACAACCAGTTACTCACACGACGCTCACCTTCCCTCCTTTATTTAGCCTCCCCCCCTCTTTGTTAAGAAACGACTCATCCCTGAACTATGTATGTACTGTATGTATATGTATGTATGTACAAAACCTTACTATAGGACTTGAACATATCAAGCAGAAAAAGATGAGCCATACCTCACTGTGTGTTAGAGTCATACTTCATTTTGCAGGCTGGGTGCGATGAGATAATCCAGGTTGAAGTCTTTTTATTTGAATTGTCGCCACTGTGAGAGTCAGAGGACGAACACACACAGCTCTGCATGTTGTGGATGATGCTTAACATCAATCCTTTTGTTCTTACTACCAGAATCCCGCCTCGGCAGTCCTGATGACATTTAACTGACTACCTGAAAACATCCTGCATTCGTGGGCCTCTTCGGAGAGCCACACGCTGACACACCTGCCATGTCACATCACGCAAAACTGCAGCAGCTCTGGCTCTTACTGTTCAGTCAAATCAGACGATACTTCTAACCGGGCCTCAGTCTGTAAGGCGCTGTGTCACTCTGCAGCCCATCCTCACCTGCAACCACGTCTAAATCTAAAACTCATTTAACCAGGGAACCGCTCATCAGCGCCCACGCACGCACGCACGCTAACCGGGATGTGAGTGTCTTTACACAAACCGATCACTTCAATCCCCGACACCTCTCTCTCTCTCTCTTTTGTTACAGTTTTCAGTGCATGCCAGAAAAAGTTGCTTTTAAGTTCACCAACACAAACAGGAATTTAAGTCCTCTTCGCTTTCGCTTCTCCTTATCAGATTGTCTCTAATCGTATCGAAGGAATCTGCCTTATTTCATATCAGACTAAAATCTAAATCACACACCTGAGGAGGTGGTCCAAGTGTGAACCCTTTGGTTGTGTAATGCTTGCAGATGATTTGTAATTTTCAGACCTTCATGTTAAAGCTAATACCTGTCTTTAAATTTCATTTCCTCCTCAGTTGATTTAAAAAATAAAGAGTTTGGGGTTTCTTTTAATTATTGGTATGAATCATGGGTTATTTTCAGAGGTGCCATACTCAAGATCAGATGAATTAAAGTTCTATGAAATGATGCCTTCATACTTTGATGTTTGCTTTGCTAAACTATAACGGAAACAACTAATAAAGTTTAAGGTGGAAGCCATGCTTTTTGGTTTCAGGCGTCTTTTTTGTGTCTGTTACTCAACTTACCAAAACATTTTATAATTCCTGCATCTGCCCTGGAGTTCATCTCCTCAATATGAAATCAAACAGATTTGACAAAGCGGTCAGTCACGTGTCCGAGGAGCAGAAACTCATCATCTCTCCTGTGATCTCCAGCCTCTCTGGCCCTCAGGCTCTCTCTCGTATTGAATGACAGCAGATATCTGCAGACTCCGTCACCCCAGAGAAAATCACTAATGACCAGAGACCTCACAGCAGAACCTCCTCATGATCACCCACAAGTATCTTTATACGACGCCCTGGAAAGCCACAAGTTACAGGAACAAGAAATCAAGCCTTACAGAAGTTTTCCATCCACTTTAGATTTTTCACATTTAAAAAAAAGCTGAAAATTAACCTGAAAAGACCTGATAAACAGTCTACCAGGAGATCTTGGACTGCCTCATACTGTCCTCTGCTGACAAGTCTTTTTTCAGCAGGACTTTGCACCTCCTCACAGTGCTGAAACTTTTACCAAACAGTTTGCTTACTGTCATACTAATTTACTATTCCAGCAGGTCTTTGCACCTGCCAGAATCTCCAAAACTACAACCAGTAGCGAGCTGACCTTCCTGTCACGAATTAACTTTTCTAGTAGGACTTTACACCTGCCCACAACACCAAAACCTCACCCAAACAGTTGCTGAAAATTGTGTCAAACTAAATTTCTTTCCTACAGATCTCAGCACCTGTCCACAATGCCAAAATCACCACAAAATACTTGCTGAGGATCACATGAATGATTTCCCGTGTTCATGCAGGACTTTGCACCTGCTCACAATGTCAAAACATCTACCAAATAACTGCTGACCATGATACTAATAATAATGCATCAAATTTTTATAGCGGTGTATCAGAGACCCTCAATGTGCTTTAATCTGGACATCATTTATTACTACCTCAGTAGTCATAGCTGCTCCGGGACAGACTGACGGAAACATGGCTGCCGGTTTGCGCCCATGGCCTCTCCGACCACCACCACCCAACACTCACAATCACACACCAGTGGAGGACACACACTGGGAGCAAGGTGGGTTTAGTGTCCTACCGAAGGACACAGCGGACAGAGTTGGGATAGGGGGAAATTGAAAAGGACCAACAAAAGGATCGAACACTCTACATCCTGAGCTACTCACGCCCCAGAACAGAACTCCACTGAAGAATCAAGAATAAAGCTGTCAGGTTCCTAGAGTAGAGATAGACATATTACAGAAATAAATAAAAATATCGTAAAAGTTAGGCCAGGATGTTACAAGAATCCACGTTAGGGTTAACCTTTAGATATCGGTCAAACACTCTACCTCCTGAGCTACTGCCATCCCTACCATCAAGTAACATTCATGCAGGACTTTGCACCTGCTCACAGCGCCAAAATATCTACCAAATAACTGCTGACCTTGATCTGACTGTGCTTGAATGACTAGCTACCTCTCCTAACGTGAACTCCAAAGATAACTCGCAGGATAATTATCAACAGGAGGAAGAGAAACACCCGACCCGGAATAGGAACTAGCCGAACGCCGCTATTAAAGTAATGTAGGCTTCAGTTTGACCTTAAAGGTGCAGCCCGCTGACTGCCTCCACGCAAAGACACATTAATGCATGATGTTCAAGAGCAATAAACCAAAATCCTCAAAGTTAAATTCTGAGTTATTGTGATGCACCTCATGGTCATGCACATTCACCCAGTCACAGAGAAAATAAAGAAAAATCACAAACATGCTCCTGTCGATCACAAAGCAGCAGACAGAACAACATGAACCCTCCTTTTCTTCTCTGGGGGAAGCGTCAATCATGAAAACATGGTGTTTTAAACATCATCCTGTCAGGAGAGGGTGTCATTATCAGGTTAAAAACAGAACCAGTCAGCCATTCTCATCACTCTTAATGGTCAAAAAAGCACCAACAACTGTTCTCTCATCTGTTAGTGTGAAGAGCTGATCATAAAAGCAGCTTTCTCATCTCTCCGGCTGTTTTCATGTTTACGTTTGATTAAGCTGTCACATGCCGGGTGGATGTTAAACTCTGAACAGAGACGGTTTAAGTTTTAATGGCTTCATTTAAATGTTGCATGTCAGAGCGACGGAGGGCTCCATGAACTCGAGCGGTTGGTAATGTGGAGGGAAACCGGCTCTCTGCCTCACGTACAAAACACTTCAGGGCTAAAATAACAAACTGCCTTTCCCACAAAAACAGCCTGCTGCTCCAGTTTACACCTCAGAAATTGCTTACTCAAACTGTTAACAGCCCTGCACAAACACCTTCCAGACGCTGTATCTGTATCTACACATTAAAGTTGACATTAGCACATGATTTAGTCTGTTGGTATGTGACAGTAGTCTTATCGTGCAGCTCTGGGCTGATACGGTGTGACGTGCTCCGTTTATTCCATTTTCCAGATGAAAGCTCGGTGGACCTCTTCCTATACAAACATGCATTACCATGTTCTCTCAGCTCTGCCGGTGTTTTTTCTCCCACCCTGTTGCCGCACTCCCTGTTAACACAACAGCAAACAAATTGGAGAGAAATAACTTCAGCTCTAAAGCTTTAAATCCCAGCCCTAGATAAGCTGTTTTTATCTGAAGTACAGTGTTTGTCCTTCATGAAAATTCATCACCCCCACAAGAGGCAGAGGCAACACTATAGGTGAACTAAGCCGAGATAAACACTCTAATTGGGATGAAAATTGACGCCATTCATTATGGATGCCTGTCTTCAAAAGGAGGAGAGAGCCGCTCAAATGTTGAAAGGAAATTGACTTGCAGCATCGCTTGTTGGCTCTGAAAGAGAGAGAATACGTCGATTAAACTTTGCCAGCAGTAGACGGTTATGCAGATTACATTTGTTGTCTGAGAGAAAAAGCACGTTTGTCTTCGTGCTGATGGCCCCTCGTGACAGGAGAGACGAAGAGAAAGAGGATTAATAAACTAATTCTCTCTCTGTTGTTGCTCTAATTATCAACTTGATAACGTGCTAATTCAGGTTGTATGACAGATTCGCTCCGGTGTTGTTGCCTGAGTGAAGATAAGGTTCGCCTGAAACTGTTAGAGGATAAAAAGATGAAGAAAGTTTGATAATCAGTCAGAGTTTTAATCAATGAGCAGTAAATTAAGGTTTGGGGGGGAGTTCATTTTTCATAACCTGGTTCAGCTCTTGTCTCCTGACATTTCCTCTCTCTCTCTCTCTTCAGCTACAACAACTACTAAAGGCAAAAAAATACCTGAAAAAAAGGGTGTATGGCCTGAATGGCCTTGACACCTGGGTAAATGAGCACAAAATGAAGCTCAATCCAAGTAAATGCAAAGTTGTACATGTCACTGGCATGAGACAAAAAACTGCCCTACCAACGCTGTCCATAAACCAAAACATACTGGAAGTTTGTGACACAGTCAAAGTTCTGGGGGTCACCATTCAAGCTGACTTGAAATGGAACAGTCAGGTGGACTATATGTTGACCTCAGCCAACAGAAAGCTGTTTGTCCTATGCCGTCTGAAGAAATTCGGAGTCAAAGACCCAGAATTGGTCTCCATCTATACAGGCTATGTTCGGCCAGTGCTGGAGTACGCTGTCCCAGTCTGGCACAGTTCCCTTACTGCCAGCCAGTCAAATAGTCTGGGCGAGCAGAATCATTCTGGGCCAGCGGTATATAGGATACACAGAAGCTCTCCACACCCTCAAATTGTGCTCCCTAGCAGAGAGGCGCACTCAACTATGTCTTGATTTTGCCAGAAAGCTGTTCAAGTCCAACTTCAGAAACTGGCTACCCCCACTTAGGAAAGAGATCTCTGGACGACAAACACGGAATGGAGATGACCTGGACACCCCAACATGCCGAACTGAGAGATATAAGAAATCACCAATTCCATATATGTGCAGGCTGTTAAATGAGAATGGTGTTTAGCTTTTTAAGTTTTTAGGTTGTTGCTTCTTAAGCTGCATTTTATATTTGAAGTTTTATTTTTTGTAATCAGCAAAATAATTCAGTGTTTTTAATGGCATCTGTCTTTTTTAAACATCTGTGATCATGCTGAAAGCTGAATAAACATAAACATAGCATTTTTTTTGTATTATCACGTGACTTTCAGCTAAGTGCGCCAACGGTTGCCATGGTTACAACAGCTGTTAAAACCAGGAAAGAGTTGTCTTTAATGCATTTTCATGTTTGATCAAAATGCCAAAATAATATCATCATATTCATCCTTATTGGGAAAAAAAACTAATAAGAGAAGCTTTTGGCTCAAAGTCGCCAGTTTACAGGGTCGCCATTTACACCGAAACACCGGCCTCAATACGTTAACTAACCTAACTGTAACAAATAACTTTTATAATGGAGTTAAGAAATCTTTTACTTTCTGATTTAAATTAGCTGCTAATGAAACTTATCGCTAACTAACCTTAGCAACACCGATTACTTCTCACATTTTTCCGAACGTTCTCTACAATTAACTAGCTTAGCTGTTATTAGCGTACATTAACCTTTTCCATGCTGTTTGTCTCTTCTCTGGTGTCAAGCTAAAATAATTTCTGAAGATTAAAGGTGGTGTAGTCAGGATCTGATCAACTCTACCCCTCCCAACCAGTTTTCCCCTCAGCTCCTCCCCTCCCCTCAAGCCCCGCCCACAAACAGACGCTCCTGCTCGCTCGTATCGTTCCAACTAAATTCAGATATAATGCAGATAAATACTTCAGATCATTACAAATGGGGCCCAGTCAAGGTGAAAGTCAAAAGCATTGGTGCTACTGTAGATGCCAACAGACTACCAGCAAACACAATGTTTGCAGGACTTCTACAACTAGGATAAAGTGACATAGTCCAGGACCCGAGGGAGGACAGTTAAGCGATGGCGCTACAACACGTCTCACAACCAATCAGGTTGGAGGAGGCGGAGAACGGCTTTGTTTACAGTCAGAAAGAGCGGACCACTCAAAAAATTTAAAATGTTGACTACACAGATATAAGAAAACACAGCGATATCGTGATATTTCCAAATGTCATCAACAACTAATCGCTATTGACTGATATTCAAAGCTTTTTTTGTATAAACGCCACAAAAAAAGATGCTTCTTTAACGGATTCCTGCCTACCCCACCTTTAATCCCATTACTTTGCTCTAAAGAGCCTGTGATTGAAACTGAAGCCCCGGCAACAGTCTGCTCTCCCTAGCAACAGTCATCTATCAAAGAATAACAGACTGCTGTTAGGAAATATTGCTATGTCGCCAGAATCAGGGATTCATCTCCAAATCATTTCTCTCAAAGCCACACACAGAATGCAGTGGTCTTGTGGCAATAAACTCATTTCGCTGCTTTATAGTTGAACTTCTTGCCACCAAGGCTGATAAAAAGCTTCAGGGATGGATAAAAAAGACCTGTTTTCAAATTAATTAGAGAGCCATCAAACATAACTGTGTATAAACTCCAGTAAAATCCACATCATTACCTCTGAGATGTCCTCATTATCCAGTAGGTCAAAGCTTTTATTTTGGCGAACAAGCCTGCATTCGGATTACCTCTTCATTTGCATGTATCCTCGTTTCTGGGGGAGATAAATGAATATAGGAGATTTCAATGATAACGCCGAACACTAATAGAGTAAAAGCAGTCAGAAAAAGAAATGAAGACTCAACCTGCTGCTCCCCTTGTTAACGAATTTACTTCAGAAGTCATTAAAAATGTTCGATGTTGTTTTTCCAAGACGGAGAAAAAACACCCAGAGAGCCTAATGAAGGAAAATTAAAAGCAACACTCTGTAATTAAATTGGACATTAATAAATGCATTAGCCTCATTCGGCTGTAATTTTGTGAGCAGTTTGGTTATGCTGATGTGCTCTAACACATTAAAGCTAAATGTCACCTGAATCAGCAATGCATTTCAAGATCAGGAACTTTGGAGTCAAGCTGAGAGGAGAGCAGGGGGCTTCTCCTGGAGCCCTGCTGCTCCTCTCTGCAGACGTCTGACGTGAAAGCACTTAAGTGTGAAAGCTGAACAGGATAGAAAACCCAGCAGAGCAGCAGGAGAGCCGAGGTCAACGTAGAAGTGGTTTTCTACTCCAGTCTTATTATTTATTTTTTTTTATGAAATCAGTCACAGATTCTTTTTTTGATAAATGACGAATGTCTCCTATAATAGTATGAAAGGAGGTTTCAACTCTGCAGTCTGCTGAAAATACAAAACAGACCCTTATCATAAACTGCCAAAAACTGTTTTAAATGTGTGAGAAGAAATCACAGTTTCAGCCTGAGCGGTCTGCTCTGCCCCCCTGAGCCTCAGAACTGACGCTCTGGCTCTCTCACAGAGATGGTATATTGTTAAAAGACACGCCAACAGTTTGGATAATTTACCCCGTGAGAAAAGGTTGATTAACAAGTCTACTAATTACTTATCACAGAGAGGAACTTATATTAAACATCTCTTCTTCCCACTTTGTCTCTACCTTCTCCTGTGTATGCTAAATTTAGGTCCAGTTGACAGACATTAAAGATGAACATGCAGGTACTTAAATCACACAAATATACAAAGATCTCAAGGCTTCTGGTCTTTTTAGCTTATTTTCATAAAACTCTTTTATTAATGCACAAGAGCCGTCACAATATCATATTTTCACCTCATAATTATCACGGTCAAAATCACAAGGACGAAGATATTACAGCTGATTACAAGGGTCATTGACTGGATTACAAGAAACTGATATTTTAAGGTTAAAATCACAATGATGTATAAATGATGAACAAAAAATGTATTTATTTCACCTTTATTTAACCAGGTCAGTCTAATTAAGACTAAAGGATCCCACTCAAAACAGCAGAAAAACACACATAAATGTGCAAAAACAGGGAATCAGAAGGAAGTTAACAAACACTCAAATTTTACCAAGGGGGAATTGAACCAACAACCTTCCAGTTATTGAAGAAACACTCTACCTCCTGAGCGTCTGCCGCCCCAGAACAGAGCTCTAATGAAGAATCAACAGTTCAAGAATGAAGTGGTCAAGTTTCTAAGATAAAGCTGTAATGATTTTATTCTACAGTGATGGTATTTGAGTAAATTTTATTCAAACTCTTTAATTTTTGATTCGGAAAAATTTAAGGAGAAATGTTACAAAAATTATTAAGCTTACATGTAACAAGTATTAGGACAAAATGTTAGAGAAATGAAGGGTGAAATCGAACAAGAATGAAGGGGAAACACTGCAAGAATTTAGCCAAAATGTACAAGTATGAAGCTGTGATATTAAAAGAACAAATAAAAAAACCTAATTATCAAAAATAACGTCAAAACAAGAACAAACAATCAAAACGTTACAAGAATGAGGTCTAAAAATTATTCAATTACAGAGCAGAGCTGTTGTGATTCTAGAATAGAGTTGTAATGATTCTCATATAGAGCTGTTGTGATTCTAGAATAGAGTTGTAATGATTCTCATATAGAGCTGTAGTGATTCTAGAATAGAGCTATGATGTAACAAGATTAAATTTAATTGTTATCAGAATAAAGCTGTAATGTTCAGAGAATTAAGTTATTATTATTGTTGAATTAAGCCTAAAGGTTATGAGAAATGAGACAGAATGTTACTTAAATAGTGATGTGACATAACTAGAATTAATTTGCAATGTTTCAAGTGTTTATTGTAATGAGAATAAGGTCAGAATGTTTTTGGAATTAAGTGGTAAAAATATGAGCGTTGTTGTTATAGTTATAAGAGATGTCTTAGTGCTACTAGAATTAGGTTGTAATGTTACAAGGATGAAGCGAGCCTGCAGCAGATGTGCAGAAGTACAGACACAATTAAGATAGAGGACATCTATAATATCCATATGCATATCTAATGTAGAGTATAGGAGTATGTTGTTATTTATGAAACCTCTATTAAAGATTCATCAAGGTTCCTCGTTTGAAAACAGGCTGCTCTCTCAGTCCTCTATCCTCTCGTTCAGGATCATATATCACGATCTTGTGACAGCTCTGGTGTGACGGCATGTGTGAAACATGTTTTTGCTCCTGGGGTAAATGTAGATTTTGGAGCCTGTAGATATTCATACTCCCTCTGTCTTCACACAGTATGTCTAATTTAAGGATCAGCAACATCCATGAGGCTTTTCTGTCCGAGTAAAATAAAGTCAAACTTCATCTTTTAGCAAAACCTCGGGGACAGAGATGTCTGTCTGATCGATTGTTGTGTTTGCTCTCAAGTCTAAACATCTAAATCAGAAGAGGAGTCCGGCCTTCTGTCCTGAGGGATCAACATTTCATACACACCGACCTTTTTCATCACTGTTGATACTGTAGTTACATAACTCAGAGAGACAGGTCAACATCCAGCAACCAAATCTGAGCGGTCAGCAACGAGGCCCCACTACACCTGAACCTCAGTGACTCAGACATAACTTACCCTCCTCGCAGAGCGTTTGTAGCCGTCTGGGCTTAACGTGCGTGTACATGTGTGCAGCCTCAGACCAAAGAGAGAGAGATACAACAACAGACACTCACACAGAAAAAAACAGTCTGTGTTTGTCCTGCAGGGTCGCCTATGTGAGTTACAGCACCTGTGTTTACGAATGAGCCGGACTCAGGCGTATTTGGCGAAGTAAACCAGGAGAGCCGCAGTCTCTATGGGAATTTAATGCCATCGAGTTGGCGAGACTTTATTCCTCTGAGTATTTCTTAAGAGTCACAGGTATTTTTTTAAGTTTTAATGGATCATATATTTGCCAAAGCTTCAGATTTTGCGAGGAACCTTCTGGGAACGGCTCATATTTTCCTGAGCTCCATGAAA